CTTTCATTTCATCCCAAACTCAAATTAAAAAAAAAATATCCCTCCCATACCCAAGTGCAAATTTTAAAAAACAATACCGTAAACACGGGTGGCTTTAGCTCACTTTCAAACTTAAGCTTAAAATTTTTGTGGTTTTAACAATCATAAACATTAAATTTTGTATACCAAAATTTGAGTCTTGAGTTGCTCTTTTATAATAACTATGTTATAATATTGCATAGGGCTGAGTTTCAAAAATAAAAATAAAAACTGGGTGTGCAGAGGACACTTAACCTTATTTCTATGCACATAACGTATACGTTTGTGACATTTAGCGAGTATTTCGCCGCTCGCAGTAAAACGTATGAAAATTTGCGTATACGCAAAGATGCGATGGCTCAAAAATGAGATTTGTTTCAAATCGTACATTTGCAAACGCTTTCAAGAGTTAAGAACGGTCAAAAATTGGCCCCCTGTCACTTTTCACACAGAAATATCACTTTACATTCGTGTTTTGCCTTGCCAATGAAAAGATTCATTTTCTAAGCAACAATGCCAATACGAAATGTGACTTTTACATAGTGGTCGTAGAAAAAAATATTTGTTAAATTACATACATAGTTTCTTTGTTACTTATCATTGTTTTATTATACCTACATAATATAAAAAAACTATAAAGTAACGGTTAACTTTAAAATAATTATTAAATAAAAGTAGATAATTACCTATAATATATTATTTATAATTTTTTTACAAACCACATCATGCAATAAAAAACTAATAGGGTGTCTGGTCAATAATTAATTAATAATAAAATGTTAAGTACCTAATATTTACTTAAGATGTTTCTGTACTAAAAATGGTGATGATCTGTTATACCAATATTGATCTCTATTATTTTTAAGAACAAAACTTAATAATTACTTATGGGGAGTATGGGCGCAATGCTAGGGAGGCGGCACGAGTTTTTCTTCAGCGCTTTTCCGATCGTCCCCTGGACTGTAAAGTTGTTCTGCTTTGTAACAAAATTTAAGGTGTTAACGTATTATAACTGCGGAAAATAAAGAAGCTATTTTCAATGCCTTTGATGCAAATAGTAGGAAGAGCATAAGGGAAGTTGTACGCGAATTTCCCGTTCACAGTTCAGCGGGTTCGTAAGGATAGGAAGATCTTTTAAAACTTATTTTAAAAATCAGTGACGTCACTTGCCCACCCTTAAAACTGCAATACCCACCCAGTTTAGGTTAGATTTATGACAATTTCTACTATTTTTATTGTTTTTCTGCGACTATTTCCCTCGTCTTAATTTCCACCAATCACTAACGCGCAATTTTGAATTACAAATGGTTTCTAGGTGAAAAAACTGTGTGACAGCACCTGTCAGCAGTTTATTCGAGTTTACCCGCGGCAAAACTTGACAGCTGTTGTCACCAAAAATTGAAATTTATATTTTAATTGTTAAATGTTACTCATGAAATAGTCTTGTCAAATACCATTCGGGCATCTAATTTTTCCTGTGAAAAAAATCGAAAAAACACAATGCTAAGTAATATTTTTTTAACAAAAAGCATTCGTGCAGGTGCAAAAATCCTCCTCTTCGACTCGGATTTTTGTTGCCACCAGCACTCATGCTTTTTGTTAAAATATCACTTAGCAACGTGTTTTTTCGATTCTTTTCGGAAAAATTAAATGCCCTTATGATATTACTTACGACTATTTCCCTCGTCTTAATTTCCACCAATCACAAACGCGCAATTTTGAATTACAAATGGTTTCTAGGTGAAAAAACTGTGTGACAGCACCTGTCAGCAGTTTTTTCGAGTTTATCCGCGGCAAAACTTGACAGCTGTTGTCACCAAAAATTGCAATTTATATTTTAATTGTTAACTGTTACTCATGAAATAGTCTTGTCAAATACCATTCGGGCATCTAATTTTTCCTGTGAAAAAAATCGAAAAAACACAATGCTAAGTAATATTTTTGAACAAAATGCGTTCGTGCAGGTGCAAAAATCCTCCTCTTCGACTCGGATTTTTGTTGCCACCAGCACTCATGCTTCTTGTTAAAATATTACTTAGCCACGTGTTTTTTCGATTTTTTTCGGAAAAATTAGATGCCCTTATGATATTACTTACGAAAAATTCCTTATCTGTACTTTTTTATTTTAATAAGAAACAAAGTTTGCTGTTAAAAAATTTATTTTAAAAATACCGAAACCGAATAAATATATTCTTTGGAGTTTGACTATTTTTTTCATGATAGTGGAGAAAAACCTTTCAAATAAGGTATTATGAGGTAGTAATCACACAAATGGCCTATAGGCCTATAGCAACAGCATATTTTAATATGTATGTATCATACAATTTTTATACAAAAAGCAAATTATTTTAAATTTGTTCCTTATTAGTACTTAATGATTTTAAAGTAACTATAGTACTATTTACATTTTTAAATTTAGAAAGCTGTAGTTCGCTGCCTGTAAAAATTTAAAATACTCAATGATTATAGCACTATAGTGGCTATAGGCGGGTGAGGTTACAGAGGGGAGGCAATGGGTTGAAATAAATTTATACCTACATGTGTTTTTTTCTTTGTATTTTTTTAAGACAGACAAACAGATCATAATTGAAATGCAAGTATTACATGGATAATAAACTAAAATGTTTTTAGAACGAATTTTCAAAGTTTGCCCCCCTTAACAAAATCCTAAATCCTGGCTATAGAAAATTTTCCCATTTAAAATCAGCCCCAAAATAAAAAGGTCTGGGCCTAAATGCACAAGTCGCAACGTGGCTACACTCCACCCAGCAAATCCAAGAGGTTTCACCAAAACCAAAATCGTCCAAGCTGCTGGCCCAATCAGAGGCAAACTTGTCCAACCAAACAATCACAGATATCCATCCAGTCACGTGACATCGAGATGGCACACTTAATTTGCACGTCAAATAATTTCACCGATTAACTTTTTCGAGATTTTTAGGTTTTTTGATTTGTTTTCTTTTTAACAAATTTTGTAATATATAATATATTAACTATCGTCCCCCTAAATATACTGCTTAATTAATTTTATTACGTTTACATAACAATCAAAATAAATAGACCTGCCTGACACGACAACTAAAAAATAAAATTGAATAAAATAATGCCGGCCGAATTGTGTAAAGTCAAGACTGCTATAATAATAATAATAATAATAATTTATTCATCCTTTTTTGACCTTTACAAGATATAGGACACATCACAGATGGGGCTCTAACCCACAGGCCTATTGCCTGGCCACTTTGACTGCACTGAGTACCACTACACATGTAGGTTAGAAATAACCGATAAAAGTTGCTAAACCAAATACTGCCACCTAAGAGAAAAGATTCAAAAATTCAGTTGCAATGCTGTAGCTTTTTCTATTTTTGCCCCCCTCAGTAGAAGTCTAAAACCCTGCAATTTGGTCATAAACAAACATGTCCATTTTTGAAAGTCAATTTTTGAATGTTTTGACCATGATGGCTTATTTAGGTGTGCTATGGAGACCACAAGGATCTAGAAACATGCTTCATATTTAGAGAATTTAATGTCCTTAATTTGAAAACACTTTTTCGGACAAATTTGGTTTTGATCGAAACCTTCTCATAACGAAAAAATAAATAATGTTAATAATAATATGCAATAGGAGTAGGAAAATCCTAGGATTTTCCTAATAATAGCTATTACCCAATAGTACTTAAAAAACTAACTAGATAAAATAAATTTTACAAATTAAAACTTTTTTCATAGAATTATAGGTACTTATTAAGGTGACCAAATTTGAAATCATTTGCTAATTTGATAAACATTTTATGACAAATAAATTAAAGAAGGGCATCTTGTACAGCGGCGGAATTTTAAACGTCATAATTTGGTTGTCTATAAATAGCAAAGATACAATATTGACCATTTTTGCTTTCTCTGTCAAAATGACATGACTAGTGATAACCGGAAGTAAGGTTGGTTATCCATAAAGAGTTTAGATTTTGATGTCAGCGGGATGATAGTCGTACAAAATTTAACTTAATTAGTTGTTGACGTTGATGTTAGTCAATTGCAAAAATTATGCGGACGGCGTTCGGGCACTAGGGGAAGATAAGGCAATTCTGATAATGCTTTATGTGCACTAAAGACCCCCTGGGATAAAAAAACGTTTTTCTACGACCACTATTTAAAAGTCACATTAATGATATCATTGCTTAAAAAATAAATCTTTTTATTGGCAAGGCGAATGTAAGTGACATTTCTGGGTGAAAAGTGACAGGTCTGTGTGAAAAGAAATTAATTATTTTATTTTGTATTTAAAAATAAAATAAAAAATAAACGGGTCGTAGAAAAAACATCTTTCACTTGTGAGAAAAGCTTTTTTCAAGCTCGTGTTAATGCATACTCGGCCTAACGGTCTCGTAAGCAACTTAAACACTCGCTAAAAAAGTCGCTTTTCAACACTTTAAAACAAATAACTATTAACCACTTTCAGACAACGTTGCTTAAATGTAGATTTTTTACGTTTGTTTAAATGCATAAAATAACATATTCTTACGTTTTCAGTTTGATGGAAAATCGACGGGTCCTTATTTTTACATTTCAATCACATTTTCGGGATACATTGAATATTTAAAAGACAATTAAAGGTATAACAATGCAGTTTTGCATAAATATTTTAAAATAAATGTTATTATGTTTTTGTTCCACTTTTTTAAATTCGATTTTTAGGGAGATTATTTTCCTACGTTGTCAAATTGTAAAATGTGTAAATGTTTGTATACCAAATATAAAACAGTTAAACCTAATTAAAAAAAGATCAAAATAATAATTATTATTATTATTACTCGTATTTCATAATGCAAATCCATAAATGCGTTGTAAAGAAAAATATATTCGTTTAAACTTTTACCTAGGTAGAGGTCAAGCACTGTAGTGTAGTATACCTACTAATTCATCATCCTCATTGTGTTATTTGGTATTATAGTAGAGAATTTTTAAATAAAAAAAAGTAATTATAACATATCTCTATTTTATTAACTTAATTACAATTATTCAAAACAATATTTACAATATTTTGTTACCTTGTACGTTATTCCTATTGTTAATGGCGATTTTTACTTGCCTTTTGTTTTCTTCTCTAAACGCTTCTTTGTTTGTTTTCTTCTCCAATCTTCTTTCCCTCCTGTATTCTTTTAAAGCATTTTTGCGTTCTTTTTTTTCCTCCGGGGTTTCGTGAGGATTTCTTACGGACAGTACAGATAGTTGAGAAATTATTGACTGTCCGCCATAGGATTTTGGTCCTTTACTGTTAAAATTACTGTCGTATTCTTCGTTTAATTTGTTAAGGGCTTTTGTTGTAAGTTTATTGCTGTCTATAACGTCTTCGGGAATGCCTGTACGTTTGTTGATTTTTATTTTGTTATTCTGAAAAAAAATGAAATATAAAAAATAATTGAACTCAATTCTACATCTAAAATTTAAAAAAAGTTTCTATGAACAGGATTAATAATGCTTTATAAGGGAGCTTGAAGATGGCACTCAACAATTACTTTTTTTTTTATCTCAGATGTACTTTAACTTTTTATTTACGTTATTGGGTATTTTGGTTCCATTTTGTGAGATTTTATTTAAAATGTCTAAAACCAACAGTTTTTAAGAAAAAACGCTTTGAAAATTTTTGGTTCTGCGTTATGAAATTGAAGCTCTCTTATAAAGTAATTTTGACCCAATGTTCTTAGGACCTTTTTTCATATTTTGCGGGGTATTATTCGAATAAAGTTAGGAAACTGTACTTTAACTTTTAACAATTTTGTTATTTACGTTATTGGGTATTTTGGTTCCATTTTGTGAGATTTTATTTAAAATGTCTAAAACCAACAGTTTTTAAGAAAAAACGCTTTGAAAATTTTTGGTTCTGCGTTATGAAATTGAAGCTCTCTTATAAAGTAATTTTGACCCAATGTTCTTAGGACCTTTTTTCATATTTTGCGGGGTATTATTCGAATAAAGTTAGGAAACATACTGTATAATAATAAATATTTATACTTGTGTTACATAACCTGAAAAATATTTTTACTTTGGCCCATAAACTTTATCACAAAGCAAATATTTTGTTATTTTAGTAAAACTACGGAAATATAATATACCTATCTAAATGATAAAATATTAACAAAATACTTTAAACACGTAGATAAAAACATTTTTCCAGCTAAAACCTTGTAATTATATACAAATATATTTAAAAAATATGGTTTTCTATTTCATTACATTTGAATATTTTGCCCATATTAAATAACGATATATATTTCAAATTCTTTTTTACTTTAAAACAATTATTACACGTCTAGATTGTTTCTACAGTGTGTCCCCGGATCGTGTTGCAAATAGAAAAAGTTTTTTTTATTATGCGTTTTACAAAATAACAAATTTTTATGAAGAAATTTTTTTTGTAAAACGCAGTCTACACTGAGAAAACAGTTTGTAATTTTACTATAAAAATAATGTAAAAATTTACTATCTCTTACAAGTAAATATTAAATTACGCATCAAAATAAGTTTATTTACTAAACAGTAGTAATATTTACAAGCAATTAGTAATTTTACTGATTGAGTTACTTATTACCAAGTAAATTTACCACCTTTGCAAAAAATATACATGTACTTAGTAAAAAATTACTTAAGTTTTGGAAATTTACTTCGTTCTAGTAAAATTACAAATGTGAAGTAAACGCTGGCCAATCAAAAACTGGCTGTTAAGTCACGTGACCCACACGCTTCCTTCTCCACTTGCAAGTGTGCATTCGGCGTCCATTTAGTCTTTGGGATCTTTGCTTCGGGGTTTTCTAAGATCTTCTATTTATAATCCCAATAGTCACTATTAAATAGTGTGACGCATTTAATTATTGTTTTCAGTGGTTCTTTTATTTTCGTAGTTAACAGGTAAGTATACAACAATGTATACTTGTAATTATTGCCATTGTAGTTTGTTTTCAGTAAAACAATATGAAAAACATATGATATTACATAAAAATCTTCAAAATGCACGATTTTCATGCGTAAGAAAGAATTGTTTTGTTATTTGTAAAACGTTTAGTTTATTTAAATTACATATAAAAAGAAAACATACTATTTTTAACTCAAATGTTGGAGAAAATCGTACATTTAGTTGCAAAATAGTAAACTGTGTCTTCATTACACACAAAATAGATTTATTTTATAAACATATTAACAATCACCTTAGAGGAGGAACGCATATTCATTGTCCATTTGCTAGTTATTGTAAAATATCAACCATATTTAAAAGTGTAAACACTTTTAAACTTCATATTCATAGAAATCATTTTATTAAAACTTGCATAAAAAAACAACCTCTTGTTAAACATGCTGAAACAAACAACGAGGAGTTAAATTATGTTTTGGCTGTTGAAAATGCAGAATGTCACGAGGAAAATAGTTCCGAAGATATGTTTGATGTAAGTTTGAAATTATTAAGTTCTTTATATCTTACACTGGAATCAAAACATTTTGTGTCAAACAAGGCTTTGCAGACAATGGTTGAAGCTGTGTCAAATATTAGTAATTTAAATGTAAACTATATAATACAAGAATTAGGAAAAAATAATTTAAACACTAATTTAATTACTGATATTGTAAGCAATAACTTATTTACTAAAGCGCTTAACCAAAATCAGGGACTATTAAGGACCAAATATTGCCGCTATAAATATTATAAAAAATATTTTAATTACATTAGTCCAGTTGAAATAAAGTTAAGTAATACCAGGTTTTTTTATTATGTATCAATAATAGATACAATTAAAATCTTATTTAAAAATGCTCAATTTAAAAGGGAATATTTTAATAATTTTCAACACCCAACTAATAAAAAAATTTTCTCAGACATCACCGATGGTTTATGTGTTCGAAACAATGATTTTTTAAATTCAAATCCCGATGCCATTAAAATTATTTTATTTCAAGATGCGTTTGAGGTGTGTAACCCCTTGGGTTCTTCAAAAATTAAACACAAAATAATTGGAGTATATATGACTTTAGCCAATCTGCCTCCTTGGCAAAGATGCAAAGTTGATCATATTCAGCTGGTAGCGTTAGTTTATGAAAAAGACGTCAAGGTTTTTGGTTTTCAAAAAGTTTTGGAACCACTTATAAACCACATAAATATTTTAGAAACAAATGGTATTACCATAGAAAAAAATAATACTGATTTTTGCTTAAAAGGTACTATTGTTGCAGTAGTTGGGGACAATTTAGGGTCACACCAAATTGGAGGGTTTGTTGAAAGTTTTAGACTGCTTTCATATTTTTGTAGATATTGCTATGCTAATAAAGTTAGTTCAAATGATGATACAATATTTAATTTGTCAGATAAAAGAACCAAAGAATCTTATTTACAAGATATTGATTGTGCTCGTTCATTAAATGAATCATATAAAGGTGTTAAACAAAATTCATGTTTAAACAAATTATTGCATTACCATGTGTGCAATCCAGGTCTCCCCCCCTGTATTGCTCACGATTTATTCGAAGGAGTTATGCAAGAGGACTTGGCCTTATCTCTTAATATGCTTTTTAAAAATAAAATAATTGATGTCGATGAATTAAATCAAAGTTTGCGGGAACTAAAGTTCGATCTAGAGAAAAAAATATATTTTCCTATTTTAAAAAAGAATATGACACATTTGCCAGGAAGTGCATATCAAAATATGTGGATTATATTTGTATTACCTTTTGTTTTAAGACAAAAAAATCTTGCTGAGTGTTCTTTATGGAAATTTGTTTTAAAAATGAGAATAATTTCTTTGTTTATTGTTAGTCTAAATATAACAGAATCTCAAGTAGCATGTTTAAAAACCTTAATTAGTGATTATATTTTGCAGCGACAATATTTGTTTCCCAACTCAAACTTAAAGCCCAAACACCACTTTTTATTACATTATCCCCAGTTAATTAAAAATTTTGGCCCCCTAAGACATATGTGGACAATGCGTTTTGAACAAAAACATCAATTATTTAAAAAAATAGTTAGACATACATCAAATTTTAGAAATTTGTTATTCTCTCTTTCTGAAAAATGCCAACTTTCTCAAGCATTAACATTGTCACAAGCAACAATTTTTAATTACAACGTTATTGTACATGATGATCCTGATGAAATTAATTTTACTAAGTATCCTTTACAAATATCTGAATTATTACAACTGTATAATAAAAGCAATGGACATATTAAATATGTATCAGAATTTGTTAGTTTTAGGGGTATTGAGTATAAAGTTGGGATGGTGCTTTGTCATGAAATTAATAATATTGGAGATTTTTGTTTATGTAAAATTAAAAATATTTTTATCACTGAAGATTATACTAATGTTATTTTTATAGGAAAAACTTTTAATGTTTTGTACAATGCAGATGATGGATTATATTATGAGTCGAAAGATTTTGTTGATATTAATTTATCTTCTGATGTAATCATTGATGCAAAATCTTTGTTGTGTCCTGAAACTGTTTTACAACATACATTCAATAGTGTACCGGCTTTTGGTTTTAAGTCACAACCATTTCAATTTTTTTAGTTTAAAAGTTTTGTATATTAAAAATTGACTGTACCCGTGACATACCTTGTAACTTGACTATTCTTTCCATAAAATATACCACATAAAGTTTCCAGGAAAATTCGATTGCAATAAATTTCCTAGGAATTTTTCATGAATTTTAGTAGCGTTTTCCGTAGAAAGACCTTTTTGGCCTTCCAATTTTATGACAATGGAAGTCCAAAAAACAGTTTTTAGACTTTTTAAAATTATAATATAATTATATATGTTAAATTTGTATTTGTATTATTGTATGTTTACTTATAAAGATTCTTGTAATATGTTCCATATTCTCTCACCTTTTATACTATACTACATATAAAAATTATTATTTACCTATAGGTAAATAATAATTTTTATATATATACTATAATGGTACAGTTTGTAGTTTAACTATGTTTTTACACTGTTAAAATTATAATATAATTATATTATGTTAAATTTATACTTATGTTATTGTATTTTTACTTATAAAGGTTCTTGTAGAATGTCACATATTTTTAAAGTTTGGTCGTGTGACAGAAAATTCAAATCCTTATTTAAGGTGGCTGAACCTGATATTTTATGCCAATTAATTTTAAAAGGTATGATTTGTATATTAAATAAATTTTATTGGCAATAAAAATAAAAATATAATACATTTTAGTTAATGAAAAATTTCAAATAAATGGCTCATCATTAGTATTAAATAAAGACGGTACTGTGATAGATGATGAAGACATTTTAATTGAAATGAAAAATGAAACTCTTCTTTTATTGACCCAAAATGAAAAATGGACTCCAGAAATTGGATGCAGTAGTAGTAACACGTTACCA